GGGACCGAGGCGAACTAGCCTCCAGGGCTTCCCGGGTTTGTTTTTGGGTCGCTGAGCAGGACTGCGGCCTGGGAGGAAGCGTCCGGCCCGGGGGCTCGGTGCGGCTGAGGGGAGCAGTGGGGACCCTGCAAACAGCCTGCTCCCAGGCGCCTGCAATCAGACGATGGAGATGGAGAAAGTCTTTGTGCCGGTCAGCCAGGCCAGCCCACAGCAGCGCTCCGGGCCAGGGCTTCGCTATTCTGGGCTCTGCGGGCCCTGGAGCTCTGCAGCCCGCCTGGGATTCCCAAAGGGGCCTGCACCTCCGTGTGAGAGACGGTAGGGGACCACCTCTGGAAAGGAGCCCGTTCCAAACGCAGTGGGCCTCCGCTAGCGTCTTGTGTCCCGTTCTGGGCCCCGCGGTTTAGGAGAGATGTGGAGAGATCGGAGAAGGTCCGGAGAAGAGCAACAAAAATGCTGGAAGGTCTGGAAGCCCTGAGCTGTGAGGGGAGGCGGACAGAACTGGGCTTGTTCAGTTTAGAAAGGAGAAGACTGAGAGGGGACGCAAGAGCAGTTTTCAAGTGTCTCAAAGGGTGTCACAAGGAGGAGGGAGAAAAATTGCTCCCCTTGGCCTCTAGTGACAGGACAAGCAGCAATGGGCTTAAACTGCAGCAAGGGAGGTTCAGGTTGGACATTAGGAAAAAGTTCCTGCCTATCAGGGGGGTTACACACTGGAATCAATTGCCCAGGGGGCTGTGGAATCCCCATCCCTGGAGATGTTGAAGAGCAGGTTGGATCATCCTGCCAGGGATGCTCAGATGGTGCCGGGTCTGGGCAGGGCACTGGACTTGCTGCGCTCTCGGGTCCCGCCCAGTGTTCTAGGATTCTCCGAAGGTAAAGCCGGTGCTGTCTTAGCCTCTGGTGAAGGGTGCCCAGGGAATGCGCACAGCTGCCTTCTGAGGGTGTGAGCACACTTCTTGCAGCTGCAACTGCCTGGAAATGTCCTGGTGCCCCTTTGGGGCCATTCCCCTCGAGCTCAGGTCTGGGACTGCCAGCGTTCTGCTGCAGCCAAGCCCCTGGGCTGTCCATGCTGGAGGCAGCCTGGCTGCCTTTCATGTCTTCCCACCTCCCGTGGAGCCTGCCTCTGTGCTGAGCTACGCAGGAGGCTGCCGGGCCCCGGGAACGGCCTTATTCCTCCCTGGTAGTAGCGTTTTGCCTCCTTCTGTGCTCCAGTGCCCACGGGCCCCTGGAGGCCTCTGCCTGCCTGTCGGCACCCCCAGCCCTGCATGCTCTTGATTACATTGGTGGGGTGGCGTTCGCGTGGCGTGTGCTCTCGGGTCAGCGATACGCAGCCTAGCGAGGGGCCACCCCTGCTGCCTCGCCGGTCTCCCGGGCTGGGGCCGTTTGGCTCCCTGCGCTTGCGCACCGAGAGTTTGCGGGATGGGCCCTTTGGAAGCCGAGGGAGTCCAGCTCTCCCCGTCAGCGCTGTGTGTAGTCAGCATGCCCCTCGCTTCACGTGCCTCCCGCACCCCCGGCCCACGCTGCGTCCCAGGCCCCTCAGCCCCTCCGCTAACGCACAGTGAGTGGCCCCGCAGCACGCTCTCCCGAGAAGGGGGCGGTGCCCACAAAGGCTCCTGGCCCGTCGACACGTCTGGCTGGTCTCCAAGGTGGTTGTTTAGGTTTCTTTCGGCTACAGACTGTGACGTAGTGGGGGTACCTGGCTGGTTTCTATGCTGCTGGCTCTGGGGTAACCCCCACTGGCTGCCGTGGGTACCACGACCCAGCAAAACAGGATGAGTCACTATGCAAACCAGTGGCCAGACACCCCCCATGGAGAGGAACAAAGGAAGGTGGAGGCTGCCCTGGCTGGGGGGCAGGGCTGGAAGAGGGTTGGTTAGTGGCTGTCTGTGAGCATGGAGGAGAGCCTAGGGAAAGGGGCTGGAGTTTAGGGGCCCAGTCTCCCCCATCTCAAGGGGGCCTGAGGCATCCTAGCCCAGCTCTGGGACCAGATTCCATCTGTGCTGTGCTGTATCCTGGAGAGGCAATAAACTTCCTCTATTCCACCGGCTGGTGCAGTCTGTTTGTGCCATTTCGGGGTGCCGGAGACGGGGGACCCCCAACGCGCCGTCACACAGACGAACACGGCTCCCCTCCATTATTTCCCTAGGGAAGGGCAGCCCTGCGCCGCTTCACAACAATTGCCCACGCTGGGCGGGAGCTTTGGCCTGGCTCTCCGGCTCCGGAGTCACAAGATGACCCCTGTGAAATATCACAGAACTGCTGGGCAGGTCACAGCAACACCCAACTGCCCCCGTGCAAGACAGAGCTAGAGAGACCGACCTTTGTAAAGCACATTGAGAGCCCTGGAGAACGGAGCTGGGCGAGGGGGGATGTTGCTAAACAGGTCGGAAAATTGCCATGAAATATGCAACTGTCTCGAGAACGCCGAGTCAGAGCGTGTAGAACGGTGGTGTGGCCCCTCCAGAACGCTCACCCCTCTCTACACATCCACCGCAGCAGCAGAACGTTCTCGACTTCTCCTGGAGTTTTCCATGAGCGTGGCAAAACAACTAATCTTTTGAATACACAGAACGAGTGACCTTCCATAGCTTCTCAGCTGTTGTTTCTTCCAGGGTTTGTTCCATTCCCTGCTCAAAAAAAAGCGAGGCTCAAACTTCTTATCGCTTCTTGCCCCCCCCGCCACTTTGAACACAAGCCAAGGTCGCAGTTTCTCTCCTCGCTTATGTACCTCCCGCCTCGGTGGTGGTAGCTAGTCTAGGAACAAGTGTTTATTCAGGGAGTCAGGGCCTTCTCAGCTAACTGGAGCAGTAGCCCGGCTGGCTGTACATCTGGGCTGTGTCTAGACTGGCAAGTTTTTCCGCAAAAGCAGCTGCTTTTGCAGAAAAACTTGCCAGCTGTCTACACTGGCCGCTTGAATTTCCACAAGACACTGACGATCTCATGTAAGATTGCCAGTGTTCTTGCAGAAATGCTGTGCTGCTCCCGTTCGGGCAAAAGCCCTTTTCCGGAAATGCTTTTGCACAAGAGGGCCAGTGTAGACAACGGGGTATTGTTTTGCGCAAAAAAGCCCCTATGGCGAAAATGGCGACCGGGGCTTTCTTGCGCAAAACTGTGTCTAGATTGGCATGGACGCTTTTCCGCAAAAAGTGCTTTTGAGGAAAAGCGTCCGTGCCAATCTAGACGCTCTTTTCTGGAAATGCTTTTAACGGAAAACTTTTCCGTTAAAAGCATGTGTGGAAAATCCTGCCAGTTTAGATCCTGCCAGTTTAGACGTAGCCCTAGTGTCTTTCATTTCAATATCACCAGCAGTGGCTTTTAATGGCCCCCGTCAGCTTCTCACTATCCACTTAGGATTCTTCCCACTCTGTTTTCAGAGTGGCTTAAATTTGGGGTCTGGACTAGGTGGCTGCATATGCGGGCTGCTGTGTTCCTTCGGCTTTGTCTACTAGGGATGTGATTGCGTAACCGTTGAACTGGCTCATGCCTCTCGGTTCCTGGAATGGTTACACACAGACCGAGGTGGTCCGCAGCAGCAGCCCCTGTCCATGGGCGGTCTGAGCTCCCCACGGACAGGGGCTGCTGCTGTGGAGCAGGCTCTGTCTGTGGGGAGCTCGGGCACCCCATAGAGAAGGGCTACAGCTGCCCTGCGCTGCTGCCTCGGAGCATGGGATGGCAGGCAGCTGGTCTGAGCAGGCAGCTGGTTTTTTAACTTGCTCCCCTTGCAGACCAGCTCCCACCTGGCACCCTGCGCTGCTGCCTCTGATCCAGTGGGAGTGGAGCTGGGAGCGCACTGGCTGCCGGCCCCACCCCCGGGGACTATCGAATAGTCGTTTAGTGGTTACACGACGATTCCGTTACCCAATATCGAACGTGCCGGTATCAGAGCCCGCAATGCAGGGTGGGAGTGGGGCAGCAGGCAGGAGCCAGTACGTGGCGGGAGCTGATTTATAGCCGGCTCTGGTGTGCCCCGGCTCCTGGGGAGCTGGCTGCCACCCCGCGCTGCTGGCTCTGCAGCATAAAGCCTGGGGCGGCCGTGAAGTGCAGAATTCTGGCCTCAGAGCAGGGTCTGAGCAGTAAAAGAGCCCGAGGGCTGCGCCTTGGACAATGTGGAGAACAAGCAGCTGACCTGTTGCCTGTGAATGGAGCACTGAGCGCGGGAGGGGAGGGGGGAGAGCACCCTCAAAGGCTGGATCGTACTGTGCCCGAGGGGGAGCAAATGCAGGCAGCACTGGCAGGG